TTGAAGGACTCTGACTGGTCGTAGTGCTACTGGTGGTGGTGGCATTCAGCACCAGCTCCGTGCTCGTGGGCAGCAGCCCATTGAAGTAGAAGAAGACGTCCTCGGAGATGTTGTAGCTGCCAAAAAGGGGAGACGACGGCGGTGCAGTCTGCATCTGGATTTGGGCCTGCGTCTGATTGAGGCCATCGCCGCGTAAGAGCGCTAGGAGGGGAGCGGCTCCTTCCGCTTCCGGCGACCCATTGTCCTCCACCATGGCCAACTCAGTGCTGTGTTCCTGCAGCTGACGCGAGGCCGAGTCGGAGTGGGAGATCCTTTTCCTGTCCCAGTTCCTGTTTGTGTTCCAGTTGCAGTTGCTGTAGCTGTTGCTGTTGCTGGTGCTTCCTTGCCTCCTCAGACAGTCTGCGGCTGCCAGCCAAATTAATGAAGCGCATTTTCACGTCCTGGGCCAGGACTTGCCGCGGGGCTACCAAACTGTGGCTGGAAAAGGGAAGAGAGAGAGAGATGGAGATGAGCACAAATGCAGTCAGATTTTAAGCCACTTTTTTGGCTGAGAGTAAACGATTTGTATCTCGTAAATATTCTGTTGTTTCCTTAAGATTTTGGGGTAAAATTGAAATATATTTATTATATTTTATGTATATAAGTTTTGTTTCAGATTTAATATCAGCGACCATTTTTTAACATATCGTATACGTAATTTACCATATTTTATATCGTATAAATATTACGTATACGCACCGCTTTCACCCCGAAAAATTATTATATAATTGTATATTGATTAAATTGTTTAATATTCACTATATATATATTATTAAATATAAAAAAAAGTAATAAATTAATTAAATAAAACTCCAATTAAGCCACATGCAAACCGCTTAAAGAACATCCAAGAAGCCACATTTCCCACGACAAAGTTTTTGATTTTGGCATTTAATCAAGTTTAGATTATGTGAAAAGAGAAAGCTACGCATCCTTCACATCCTTTGCATCCTTCGGTGTAGAAGGTAAAAAAACTTTTCGCCAAAAACAGCCTCCAATGAAGCTATTGTAATTGAATCGCTGGCAGCTTGGGCTATAAATTTCATTCAATTAAAATGTTGACTCTCCTCGCATCGCAGCGAGTAACCGAGTTAAGCAAATTTCCACCGGCACAAAAGCTAAACAAACACATTAATTAGAGGATTTTTTTCGGGAGGACTGCCGCCGCCTGCCTCACCTGCCTGCTCAGCTGGGAAAGGTGCGCAATTAATTGGCAAGCTGGAAAAGAGGATTCGGAGATTCGGGGCTTCGGAGGCTGCTGCCACACAAATAAACAAATTAAATTACATTTCAAGTGCGCCGGCAGGATGGCAGGAAGTCAAGCGTGCGACCACTAGGAACTTGAACTCCTCGGGAGGCAGGCGCTGAAGGGACCAAGGTCCCAGGATGGGACACAGACTCGGGGGAAGGAAATGACAAAGTGGATGGCGCCTTTGTCAACGGAATTTGACAGAGGAAGTCAACAACTGTGCAGCGCATTATTCAAGAGTTGTTTCTCCTGTCAGCGGTCTTGATTGCTAAGCTTCGTACTTAATGTAAACAGCCGCGTTTGAGTTCGAGTTCAAGTCTGAATGCGACTCCGACTCCTCTGGGCAGGGATTACTTCTCCGATTCAATGTCTCCATTTGGGATTGCATTGCTCGGGGAGGTTGCACTTGGGGTTCTCCTTGAGGTCTTCATTGGCGCTCTTCGCTGAAAGATTTTATTTAACCATTGAAAGTGCATGAATAGCCAGGTAATTGCCAATCAAGTTTGGCTTAATCTCTTTTTTGGCAACTCGGAATTATGAATAAACTGTGAATGAGATGTTCTTCTGGGTTTATTAGGTATTTTTTTAAAGCTTTTTTAGAGCTTAAAATTGAATTAAATATCAATTAGGGGACCAACTTTAGTATCAATTACACTTCAACTTAAATTTATATCCCTTCAATAACTTAATTTAAATCCCTAAAATCCTGTTGTAATTTTTAGTAAATTCTCCACTTATTATCCTCCCAATTTGTGCCTTTAAAAAGTGACTTAATTTACAAATTTTCGCCTTCTTTCACTGCCATTTCTCAGCCGCGTGTTCGTTACTTAGTTATGTTTATGCTCGTGTTCCTGATTATCACCTGTCAGTGCCAGGACACGAGTCGACACAGGATCTGGTTGGTCTGCGGCCAATCGAGCGGAGCGAGTGGAGCGGCGAGAAGAGGTCCTTGCCACATTCTGGTTGCTCATTTCCGGGTCGAGACGCGTTGCCTGCATGCCATAAATCGCGCCCTGCCTGTTGTTGTTGGCTTATCTGCCTCTGAGAGAGGAAGAAGAGGGGAGGGCAGCGGCGAGTCCTGTGTGTGCTGACACGTTTATGGTTTATGTTTTCTTTAGCCACAGTGCAGAAATGGCAGAGGCTGCGTTGTTTTTTCGCATTTTTTGCCCTTTTTTGTTGAGCTGTTTAGCACAATTTCCTGGCACATTTCTCACTGGCAACGGCTAAAAAAGCAAACATTTTTTTCACTTACCCGTCCGCCTCTGATGAGGCTGTTGATGTGCAGCAAGTCAAAATGCGAGCTCAGGGCCGGGCCGGGCCAGACCAGGACAGGCCTGGGCGATGGCGCAAAAAACACAGGCCAAACCCAATGAGAAACAGGGAAAGTATGTGTACACTGGGGGAAATTACTTAAAGAGAATTGAGAAATATCTTTCGAGAGAAATAAACTCGCTTAAGTTGCAGACTCTGGTTTTGATTTTTGACTAAAGGAGTTACAAATCGTTATTCTTTCTTTTAAAATTTTAGAATTTATATCTGAAATTTAAGCCTGAAAATATGTTTTAAGCCAACAATTGCTGTAGAAAATTTGTCTTATAAATGATTTAAAAACTTTCGTTTTCCTTCTTAAATCCCTAAATTTAATACCAAATCTTGATTCTCGCTCTCTGTATGCCAAAATTCATATAAAGCAGAGTGGACTTCCCCCTGCAGCTTTCTGGGCTTCTCCTTTATTTCTTTTCTCTCTTTTTTTTTGTATTTTTATTTCGTGTGTCTGGCCCGAGAAAATTTAATTGAGGCAACCTTTAAGGTTGCTCCTGGAGGGAGAGCTGGCCAAAGTGGCTGGGCCCGGCTGCAAAATGCCTTTCGACCAGGCCAGCAATTTGTATATGTGTGAAAAACCTTTTGACCCTTTTCAGTTAGCCGGGCCGAAAGGCTGGGAAAAGGGCAGCGGCATGGAAATGGTTAAGTCATTGAATGGCCTCATGAAAGTTGAGCTGAACGGCCCCGATTTGCATGCGGGCAAGCGGCCATGCTGCCTTGTCCAATGCGTTGGCGACTTCCAGGAAAAGCGGCAGGCGTGGGTTAATAATTTTCACTTGAATTTCGTCCTGCAGAGAGTATTTCGTAAATTAATTCCCTGCAGTTCGAGCCAATACACAATTGATATTGATTCGGGGGGACATTAGATTTTAGATTCACAGAGAGCGCTCCGTGCTCATGGCCATGTTTGTATCGATACATCGAGTATCCGTAACTGTTTCTGTATCTGTATCTGTAGTATCTCGGCTGTCACAGCTGCAATAACAGTCTTTGAATTTAAATGAAAGTCAAAATCAGAAACGAAAAAACAAGAACGGCAATATTCCCTGGTCCAAACGACTGACACATTCAATAGAGAGTCTGCTGTTGCCGCCGCCGGCCATTTGTTGGATTTTTATGTGAACCGTAATTATGTGAAGCGATTTTCCATGTCGCATTGTTGCCTATTGAATTATTAAAAACTTCCGAGACACAACACAGGGCGATGTGTTTATTGAAATTGCCTGCCAACTGGCACCCCAACGAACGACAACAACGAAAAAAAGCTTAGGGAAATGGGAAACCAAGGGCAGGGGGCTTGGAGGTGACTACTACAGTCCGGCTTCCTTTGTCCACGACTCCAGGTAATTTAACTTTTGGGATAACTTTTTGGGGAACTTTTTTTCAGCGTTTTTTTGAGTGGGTTTATATAAATTATTTTTGGGTTTTTTAAGATAAAATGAGACATAAATTCATCTGTAAATTTATTTACTTATTAATAAAACCTATTTAAATCAACTCCTCAACAAATATTTATTTTGTTGATTTCCTGAGGTGCTACCCGTATTTCCTCGTCGTTTCCTCCTTGAACTACCCCGCTAAGTAGGCAATACAATTTTTACGGCTCCGTGAAGCACTCCCCCGATGTCAGGCAATATCAGCAGTGCCTCTCGCGAGGCCTAATGCCAGAATTTATTAGTGCCCGCCTGCCATTGTTGTTCACGTCGATAAAGAGGGCTTCAATGGCGAAACATGTGCATGTAACTGGGGCTTCTGTATACCCGGCTTACCGATCCCAACATCCATTAATTTCCATGCACTATCACGGAATTGGAATCACAAGAGCCGCCGCGTCGCCAGTGACATTGAACAACCTTTCTCGAGGCTTTCGGGTATTCAAATTAACTTGAGGTGAGCCGGCGGATAGACTGTGCTATCTCCTATCTCTCCGTGGCATAAGTACAAGTATCGGGATAAGTATCGGTGGCACCCACTCAGGAGCTCTGCGATAAATCGCCGCCTAAAATCTCCCAAATTGCTCCCAGAGCGGGCTGCCTTTTCTCGTCTTTCTGCTTTTTTTTTCTGGCGTTTTCCAAGATTTCAGGTAAGCCAAGCGAAACAAAGTGAAAAGGTTCGACTTCGAGTGGCTCGGGCTCCCCGTTGGCGGCCAAATCTTTGACAATCTTAATGCGAATTCAAGTTAAACACACGCACTGTACAGTGGTTCGAAATTAAAGGAAATGGGGAATAAAATTAGAGGGTTTAGTTGGATAGTGATGATGATTTTATTATGTTTAAAATTCCAAATAAAAAATATGGTAAAAAAGAGGACCTAAAAGTCAAATATTTGATATAAGATACTTTAAAAGAAATGTAGAAATAATTTTCAAGATAGGAACCTCCCAAATTCCTTTCAAATTTAAACACTTTTCGCCTCACTGTGCCCCCTCTCGGGGGAGCAGGAGGCTTGGCTTGGCACTAAAACGACGGTAAATACAGCGAGTTAAGGACTCACTGTATTCAGGACTCAGTCAGTCAGTCAGTTGGGCACCGTTTTGGTTGGGTCCACAAATGAAATTTAATCACGCGCGTGGCAGGCTCGCGTTCGCCATTCACAGCGTCGATGTTTGCTTTATTTTCGGCTTTGTAGCCGGTGCCCTCGACCGATTTGGATAATGCTATCGCCTCGCCCCCTTGATCCTCGCTGCCCCATATCCGGAATCCTGCTGAATCCCGGTTCCCCTCGGTGCCTTGGCTGCTTAATTATGTCACAAATATTTACACCGGTGGCGCGGAGTGTCATGGCACGCAAGGAATCTAGCCCGAGCAAACAGAAATCAAACGAAGCCAGGTCCTTTTTGTTTTTTCGGATATACTCTATACTGTATATAGTACATGGGTTGGCTTTCTTTTTTTTTTTTGTTTTAGTCGAGGCAATCAAGGACAAATAAGGACGGCGGCCGGCATGAAAGTGGATTCCGTGATAATGGCTGGCATTAATTTGCGGCGCACAGACAGACAGCCTGTCGAGGGAGGCAAAGGATACAATAGAGACGGCATCGACAGGCCAGACCCAGGATTGGCAACCCAAAAAAGTGAAGGGGGAGAGCAACAGTAGGCCAAAATACGAGAAGGGATAATTTCTTTTTTATGCAAAAAAGTAGTTGAAAATTCTATAATAATTTACAAATAAATAGCTTGGCTCTCTGATTTTAAAATAATACCAAAGAAAGAATTCCATCCTGGGTTTTCTTGTAACTTTAACTTCCTGAAGGTTTTTTTAGCTATAACCTCTAACAACTTAATTGCCTAAAAATCTTTTTATAGCCTTTTTATTAGCCAAATGAATGTATATTTTTTTAAGTGCCTTCCTCATTTCTCCTGTTTATTGTTAAATGTTCCCTGTTATTGTTGCGGAAATACCTTTGGCATGTTAAAAGTTATTGCCAACTCTCACACACACACATGCTCCCTCGGCCAGGACACATTTAACGCGCTTGTCACGCAATGAATAATGATTGGACAGAGCGACAGCCAACAAGGACAACTACAACGTACGTACAAGCTCCAGCTGCAAGGTGACTGACAATCAGGCCCCCATATATATATATATATATCTGCAGATATCAGCGTCTGTCGCCTGTCAGTGAGCCAATCGAGCATCGGGCATTACTTTAAGTGGCATATTGCTCATGCGACGTGGTGTCCCATGCCACGGCTACGACTCCTTCGGCATCATCCTTTCTGCTCCCCGGGGAGTCGTGATAAATAATTAAATATTGTCACAAATGGCAAGTGAGCTGGGATCTTGGCTGTGCACTGAGAAAAATACAAAGGTAAATGTTTATTTTGAGGAGTATTTAAAAAATATGTCATGCTGACTTGCCACAAATACCTCTTACTTAAATTCCCAGAAATAAAAAAAAAAAAATGAAACCACATTGACAACCAATATTCTGTGGCATTTTCCGACTCTCGAGTTCATTTTCTGTGGAAATAAAGTTGGGCAAGGAGCACGGAATGCCCTGACAACCGGAATGTAAAGCAAAATGCGGAGAATGGAGAAGGAAATCAGCTAAAAAGCAGAAACCAACCTGACCTGACGTCATGCGAGGGCAAAAACGCTAACTAATCCAAAACCAAATCGGAATCCACACACACACGAGTCTCGTGAGCTGTCGAGTTCAGCACACATGAGCGAATCATTTGACCAAATATTTGCATAATTTGAAATCAATACGAGTTCATCGGATCTGGATTCGGATTATGATTAATTTGTTGCCAGCGAACGAACGAGTCCTAGTTGTCTCGAGTGCAATTGAGAGATGAAAATGCTGAATTTAATTCTGTTTGCCTTTGCTGATTTTTTCCCCCATGAAAACTAACGAACTTCAACTCCAACTCCGGCGACTTCTGCTCCAGTGACTCCAAGGATATAGGTTCGCTTTCATTCCGCTTTCAGGACACCCGAACACGCACGCACGCACGCACTCATTTCATTTCCCCAAAGGACATATTTAAAGTTAGTTTTTGATGAGTTGGCATGAGTTTTATTAGCGGCGCCCCAAACTTTCTTTCCCTTTGACGCAAACTCGGGGCTCCTCACATGCCGAATGAGGCAGCTCAATGAGCATCGCATCGCCTGGCATCGCTTCCAAGGGGCAATAAATTAAAAATGTATCATATCGAAGGTCCTGCGTTCCGCTTGTGGGAGGACTCGGGGTCCTTCCGCCTTCCGATTGCCGAAACTTAATGGGTTTTGCATAATTTTTCCAAGGGACGTCTTCGCGCTGGGAAATGAATTCCAGTCACATGACCCAATGAGATATGTGTGTGTGCGCTGCCTAATATGATAATAACATAAAGAACTCTGTCAGCGGATCCTCGGGGTTCATGAGCGAATTACAAATTGTCTGCACGCGCCGTCCTCCGCCAATGGGGAAAGCCAAACCCCCGGATTCCCCGGCAGTGGTGTCAATTAGGGATTCAAAAGGCAGCTGTGGTTCGTAATTAAAAAATAGCCAAGGATATGGGCAAGATTTGTTAAGTAAAATATGGGATATAACTTAATAGGCGACAGTAATTTTTAGTGATTTAAAAAGAAGACCTATAATTTTGTAGGATATTCTTTATAATAGAAATTGCAGTCAACTATAGAACTATAGAATTTGCTTAATTGTAGACACCAAAAAAACTTATTTAAGGAAGAATTCTTTTACTTTCAATTCTTTTACCTTCTGAAAATAAAACAAGAAAAAGTTCACTTAGAAATAATACATTAGCCACTTTCCAGAGCCCCTTCTTAGCCCTAAAGCAGCCAAATTAGCCCCTCTGTTCGTCCCAGCACCCAATATCCGATACCAAATCCGATTCCCAAATGGCTTCGGCACGTGTGACTGTGAAACAATTCGAGTTGCAGCCGCCCGGGATAATTTCGATATAATAACAAGAGACGCCAAAAGTCACGTCACTCCTTCGAGTGAGAGTGAGTAAAAGCGAATTCATCAGCGGTCCTGTCAAAGACGAGCTGAAATATTGACGCAAAGCCCGGGGGCTCCACAGCGGAGCAGATAAGGACGAAGACAAAGGACACAAGGAGTTGCCCCCGGGCGGATGAATATAGAAAGACAATGACAGAGACTACATTACTTTCTTTTGTTTTTTTTTTTTTTTTTTTTTTGTTGCTGTCCTTAGTCTCCACCACCTCAGTGTCCTGCTCTCACTTATCGACTGTTCCTAATGGCCACGCAAAACGGCCACTTATAGTTTTATTACAGGCTCGTATCAATTTTGATTTGCTGGCTGGCTGTCGAGGAAAAACAATTTTCTACGAATAATTTGCCAGCCATATCTCCGAGGGCGTGTGCTTTGGCATATCAATTGTGCTTTCCTTGCTGGGTGGTGCTGGAGGGAAAAGTATCTGGATAATCGATATTATGGCGAGAAATTGAAAGCAGGAACTTAAATTTGTATTTCTTACTATTTTATAGGATTTTATCTAAGACAAATTAAAGTTCTCATTTAAATTTCTAGCGCTAAACTTTAATTTTAGAAGGAAATTAAATAACTGAAACCTGCCCTAAAGCAGTCATTATTTTCATAGAATTTTCCTTTGCCCCAGTGTAAATTTTTCCAGCATGATTTACACAATAAATGTCATGCTGGGACTGCTTCGCTGCTCGACTGCTCGCCTGCTCGGCACGCAGGTCCTGTCCGCACATAATGCAGTCGAGCACAGGACTTTGGCCACGTCCAGACAGCCGGCGAAGGCCTTGGCCACCACTTTGCTAAGAAATCTTCTGGCCACTGGCTTATCGTGTTTGTGCCAGTTTTTCACTTTAATCGGGACATCTCGACTAAGCCCGGGCTGGGCCTGAGCATGAGGGTCCTTTGGAGTGACATTCTAATCAACTGCACATTAGCATGCTGCGGGAATGGAACTGGATTCGTCGAAAGTGGGTTAAGATGCGGATGGAGTCATGCAACACACTCGCACAGCACACACACATGGCCCTGCTGCAGTTGATTAAGTCCTGGCTGGGGGCGGGGAGGGGGCACAATTTTATGGCTAATTAAGTCGCAAAATTAACATTAAATGGCAATCTGGCGGCGCACGGAAGCCGTCACACTATATGGCAGCTATATAGAGCAGCGACTTCCAAACTGACGCCTGACATTTTCCAAACGGCAGACAACTTAAGACCCCGGCCAAGGTGGCTGCGAAAAACTCATTTCGAGATAATTAGTTAAGGGAAACGCCGCTGCTCTACGTCCCTCCCACTTCTGCCCCCCTCCCCAAAAAAAAGAAAAATATATATACTGAAAAATTCAACCATTCGCTACAAGTACGCGCTACAGTTTTCAGCATTTCTCATTTCGTTTCGGCTGCGAAAATAAAATGAAAATTGCTCATAGTCACCGGCAATATTCCTTAGCCATCTCTTTTTTTTTCTGCCAACTCAGGCAGTTTATTAAAGCGAAAATAATAATAACGCAAAAAGTGTAAAGAGAAGGCTTTAGTTAGGGGGAATCGACCATGGAATACCCAAACTTATAAGCGAGTCATAAAATTTATGGGCGCTGCTTTCGGTTTTGTCATAAAAAACGGAAGATATAAAACTAGTTTCTTACTTATTTTGCCTGATTTTGTTATGTTTATTATATAGCTTATTTCTCATTTATTATTTTGCCAAAAACTATATTTATTAGGTATTAAATATTGGGTTGAAGATGACCAAATAGGGCAGAAAAAATTAGATTTAATATAAGATATAGTTTCTTAAAAATCTTTAGCTACCAAATACAACCCCTTCGTTACCTATATTTTTCTCAAATCCCATATACCCTTGAACTCTAGCTCATATATAGTACAAAGTATACAAAAGCAGAGACCCACAAAAAGTCCCGGGTATTAAAAGCCAACTGAGCACACGCGGCACAAAAAGGCGAGAGCGGCCCGAAAGGCTGGAAGGTAAAACCAAACAAAAAGGTGAAAATTAGAAATATAAATATGTACAGTATATATATTTATGGGCGCTGCAGATGCTGGGGGAAAAACAAAAACATCGGGCAACGAAATCTGCTTGGCTGAGCTATTTGCAATCATGAGAAATATTATTTTAATTTTGCTGTAATAATTTGCAAGAGAACATCATTTTCATAAGCCTGCCGCGAGATGTCTATCCTTGGCACGAAATGAAAATGAATTTAAATACCTGAGCGCCCACGTAGCGGCAGTTACTTCTCTCAACCGGAGAAGTGGGAGGTGTAAAAACCAGGAGATGGTTTTTACACCTCCCACTTCTCCGGTTGAGTTTTCCGCCTCCTGCCTCTGGTTTTCCACCTCATAACGGTACCAGCAGCAGCAGCAGCAGCAGAAAGGCAGGAAAACACGCATCTACATTCATCCGCAGTAGCTCCTTCCCCATCCTCATCGGCATCCCCCGCTTCACCTCTGCGGCTGCCACCGGCGAATTGTCATTCAAATCTGTCGCATCGCCCACGGGGCCTAAATAGGGGCGTGGCAGGGGGCTTTGGAGATGGAGACGAAGGCGGAGGGCGTGTCAAGCACGCAGTTTACTGCAAATTTTATTTGTAGCTGTAATTTTGAGCGTTTTGCGCTTAGCGGCC